AAAATGTGGTACGTTTACACACTGGAGTTCTACTCAGTGGTAAAGAAAGATGAAATAATGAAATTCGCAGGTAAATGGATGGAACGAGAAACTGTTATACTAAGCGAAGTAACAGAGACTCAGAAAAACAAATGACTTTTGTGGATCCTAGCACCAAATTCTTATATGTGAGTATATATCCTGATGTAACTGCAAGAACCAGGAAAATGGAAAGTAACCAAGGAGGTAAAGGGAAAGAAGGAACTCGAGAGAGAGCAGTAGGAGACAGGGGTTACTAAGGGAGAAATGTGTAAAATGGGGGTAATTAAATGGGGGGGAGAAGGAGAGCTATACAAGGAACTATGGGGATAAAGAGGAAGAAGGAGCTCAAGAGAGATGGGACTATAGCAGATAGGAATTATCAAGGGAGAAATGGGGAAAATGGGAATACTCTAAATGGGGAGAGTATGGAGGGAGGGTTAGACAGGTAGAGAGTGATGAGAGATAAATAATGTCCAGCTAGTATAAAAAGTCAGAGGGAATCTTATTAGTCCAAAAACCTACTGAAAAATTACATATACAATATTTCTATGTGAGCCCATATGTATAACTGAAGGCTATATAACAAGAAACTGCCAGACAGACAGGAGAAGCCTTCCTTTGAGTTGTTGGCCAAGGTAGTTCAAGAGTCTACCAAAATTACACAGGCTATTGCCACAGCCCTTAATTGCCTCCTAGAACTTGACGGTGAGACAGGACATACTTTGGGCACAGGATTTGGAGCAACAGAGCTGGAACTGACCTGGAAGCCACCTCCCCTGAAGGCTAGCTCTCATAGCTTTGGAGAGCACTACATAAGCTGGTAAGGGAGAACATCAGTATCAATAGATGGTCCAACCTTAGCTTCAAGGCCTAAAAACCACATCAATGACCAGCACAACAAATGACATTGGTGCAGTAGTGGCACTTTTATCTTGGGGGTAATCAACAGCTACCTAATTGGCCTTAAAGCCCACTCAACGGTAAGAAATTTATGTGTGGTACTGTAAACCTAGCCACATACACATAGCTGGGGAGGTCATAGAAGTAGAGAAGACCCCAAGACTGTCACATCCCTAGACAAATGTAATTTCTCACTATGGGCAAAATATAGAGTCTTAAATTTACAGAGTGTGGGTCCTTGGACAGGCCTCCTATATTAAAATCCACCCACCCAGGGCTCAGGGACCATTGTGGAAGAGGGGGTGGAAAAATTTTAAGAACCAGGGAGGAGGTACATGAGCATACAGAAATAGAGTCCTACAGGCTTCTGGGATTCTCTCATATGAACCTACAGCAATGGTGTCAGCATGCACAAGACCCATGCAAACTCAAGCAGACAAAAACCCAGCATAGAACTGTGGAAATGGACAGCAGGCCCCAATGTTAGCTGAAGAATTATTGGCAGCTGATTACTCTTGGGTGAGGAAGAGATGATCTTAAAGGGAGGGACTCTATATAGACTGACAAGACCTCAGTGGATGAACTTACACTGAGGGACATCTGGGGACATCTGGGGACTAACTTGATATGATAGGTCACAACACAAATGACAGAATGTATGAATTTCAGTGGGTGGGTTATGGGAGGGGGCCAGTGAGGAAGGGGGTATAAATATGATTAAGATGTTCTGTATGAAATACACAAAAATCCAATAAAATTTTTTAAAAAAAATTTGGAAAAATATTGCAGTTGCTCTGAACATGTACAGGTATTTTTATTGTCATTTTCTCTAAACAGTACAATACAACAACTATTCACACACACAAACACACAAAAAAGAATTATGATTAATGTGATAAAAGTTCAGGTACTTTGTAGGAATGGGATTGGGAGGGTACATTGGGGGAGGGTGTTGTCCTTGTGCTGAAGACTATCAGACTTTCATAGTGTTTTATGGAACTTTCTTTTTGTTCAGTTCATAAGTCCACATGTACAGCTGGGGGTGGGCCTGTCTCCAGTTCAGTTCAAAGGTTTATCTAGGGACAGGTTGAAACCTGATTGATGCTCACCTCCATTTTAAGAACCTAGAACTGGGGCTGGAAATGGCTCTTCAGTCTAGAACTCTGGATGCTCTTGCAGAGGACCCCAGTTTAATTGCCAGCACCCACATGGCAGCTAACAACTATCTGTAACTTCAGTTCCAGGGGATCTGACATCCTCTTCTGACTTCTGTGGGCATTACATGACATGGGTGCACTTACCTATATGCAGGCAATACACTCATTTACATAAAATAAAAATAATAATTTAATAATTTTTTTTGATACAGGGTGTCCCTGTAGCCCCAGCTAGCCTGGAACTCACTATGTAGACCAGGCTGGCCTTGAACTTACAGAGATCTGCCTGCCTCTGCCTCCCGAGTGCTGGAATTAAAGGCATGTGCCACCATGCCCAGCCTATAATTTAATAATTTTTAATAATTTAAAAAAAGAACCTAGAACCAATGCTACTCCATTTTTATTCTTTTTCCTTGATGAACATAAACCAGGATAAGGAGTCAGGCAGCTGTGCAAACCTCTACATCATGTTGTGCGTGCTTTTAAAAATATTTTATTTATCATTTTTATTTTATGTATATGAGTGTATTGCCTACATGTAGGTTAAGTGCACCCATGTTGCAATGCCCTTGGAGGACAGAAGAGGCTGTCAGATCCCCTGGAACTGGAGTTACAGACAGTTGTTAGCGGCCATGTGGGTGCTGGGATTTGAACCTGGGTCTTCTGTAAGAGCAACCAGTGTTCTTAACTGCTGAGCCATCATCTCTCCAGCCCCATGTTGTGTTTTTTAAAAGCTGAGGTAAAGCTGAGTGTGGTGACACATGCCTTTAATCCCAGCACTGGGGAGGCAGAGGTAGGCAGATGTCTCTGAGATTGAGGCCATCCCAGTCAAAGTGAGTTTCAGCTCAGCTGGTGCTCCAGGGAAAACTTGTTTCAAAGAACAAAACAAAACCCCCTGGAATAGATGAAGAAGATGGCCCAACAGGTAAGAGCACTTGCTGTTCAAGCATATGAACCTGAGTCCGAATCCCCAGGATCCATATAACAGCTGATCATGCCCATAAATGTCTGTTCTGTCAGTGATGGGGATGGAGACAGGCAGTACCTGACAGCTCAACAGTCCAGCCCAAACAGCAAACTTCAGGTTCAGTGAGAGACCCTGTCTCTAGGGGATACGCCAGAGCGTGAGAGAGGAAGACACCCAATGTTTTCCTCTGGTTTCTCAAGTGAGTGCAAACACACACACAAACAAATACTGCACACAAAATAAAGAAAAAAGGCAGAAAAGGAAAAATAAATTAATGTATAAGAGCAGATGCTTTTTTCTCTTTGCATCTTTTTAAAGATTTAGTTTATTTGTAATTATGTGTGTGTGTGTGTGTGTGTGTGTGTGTGTGTGTGTTTGTGTATACCTGTATGGGCACGCAGGTGTCCAAGGACACCAGAAGAGGGGGTCAGATCCCCTGGAGCTGGAGTTACAGGTAGTTGTTCGTCACCCAACATGTGTGCTGGGACCTGAACTCAGGATCTCTTAAGAAATAATATGCACTTAACCACTGAGCCATTTTTCCAGTCCCCCCTCCCATTCACTTTTTTACTGGTTTGGTTCTGATTATAAAAAACAATGCATTTTCATTATAGGAAGCTTGGAGAATTCAAAAACCTATGAAAAACAAAATAGCAATCATCTATAAAATTAATAATATAATTTAATATATTTATATATACCATATATACTTTAAAAAAGATTTATATTATTTTTATTTTATGTGTATGAGTGCTCTGCCTGTATGGCTGCAAGTGCATCTTGGAGGCCAAAATGAGTCGAAGCCCCTGGAACTGGAGTTACAGATGGTTATCAGCCACCATGTGGATATTGGGAATTGAATCCCCAGTCCTCTGGAAGAGCAGGAAGTGCTCTTAACTTCTGAGTCATTCCTCCAGCCCCTCTTTTTTTGTTTGTTAATAGGGTCTCAATGATGCTCTGGTTCCTCTTGAACTTTCCATGTAGCCTAGACTGACCTGGGATTCTCAGCAATCCTCAGTTTCCCAAATGCTGAGCTTGCAGACCTGCACCACTACACCCAGTCATCCTGCACTACAAAGAGGGAGCCTTAGGGCTCTGGGTGGAGTTGGGCGTTCCAACACCCAAGTTCAAGACCCTTGCAGGACAAACACCACAAGGCACGAAAGAAGCTTGTCCTGGGTCTGTGTTATGTCACTCAAGTCTAAGGTGCAGGTTGTAATGAAGAGTCCAGAGCAGACTGCTGCTCAGGCCACAATCCCAGACCCAGAACCTGCTCTCTCAGGTGCCAACCGGACACCCACTGGCACATCGTCAATCTCTAGCTCACAGAACTACGGGTAGCAGGATCTCTCCTCAGGAAGGGATGTTACATCAGTGGAAATATTGGGGGCCACACCTCCTTCCGCCTCCCTTCTCCCTTCCCTGCTTCCTGTCTTGGTATCAGAGAGCCTGGCTGCAGGCTTGTGCTGTGAAATCACCTCCCTTCCCAAGGGAGCTACAAGAAGGAACCTTCGCCCCACCGCCAACTTCTGCCACATAAGCCCTTATTCCCCTCAGAGTCCCCGCCATGCTGTCTGTCTTTGACCATGGTTAATGACTTCTAAAAACCTCCTTACCCCCAACAGTTCGTTTTAGTCCCCCTTGAGCCCCAATTCCCAAATCTTTCAAAGGTGTCTGGAAAGAAGGGCGTTATGGTGGGGACTGGGACTTCAGATGCCCCCCCTTCCTCCCCGCCCCCCACACCCGTCCCAGGGTGAGTGTGTGGGAAGGTGGAGGATAAGGCTGGCAGGGGTATCCAGCATTCCTATGGGAAGGTGACCCAGTACTTTCTACCTTTTGGGGTTGGGGAAGAATAGGAATTCCTATTCAAATCCTTGCCCAGCAGTTGTGCAAGCACTTGCCCTCAACCAACATGGAGCAGGAGGCGTCACACGGAACACGTGACCGTCCTGGGCCTTAACACGCTCTTCCTCGCCCCTGGGCTCGCGGAGCGCGCGGCTAAAAACCCGGCCGCAGAACAGTCGGCATTAAGGCCAGCATGTCCCCAAAGCGGGTCTCGTGCTGGGCAGCTCTGGGCCTGCTGCTGTGCGGCTGTGCGCTGGCGCTGCAGGGCGGGATGCTCTTCCCGAGGGAGACCCCGTCCCGGGAGCTCAAGGCGCTGGACGGACTATGGAGCTTCCGCGCTGACCTCTCCGACAACCGGCTGCTGGGCTTCGAGCAGCAGTGGTACCGGCGGCCGCTGCGGGAGGTGCGCGCCCCTGGGGACTCCGGGTCTGGAAGCTTCCGGGGATGGGATGAGGTGACCCTGCACCGCCAGACGCTTGTGCACGGCTAGGCGAAGTTAAAGATTAATGGGCTAGCAGGCTTGGAGAGGGAAGAGACCAGAACAGGAAGCAGGACCCGGCAGGCGGTGGACTGCACGGACTCCAGGGCCTCATGCATGCCAGGCAGGCACTGCATCATCGATCCACGCCTCCAGCCCTAAGGAATAGACCTTTTTTTGGTCTTTTTGAGACAGGGTCTCCCTGTGGCCCCAGCTGTCCTGGAACTCACTGTGTAGACCAGGCTGGCCTTCAACTCACAGAGATCCGCCTGCCTCTGTCTCCCAAGTGCTGAGATTAAACACGTCTGCCACCACGCCCGGCTTGGACTAGATCTTTTTTATAACTTTTAATTTGTAGTGTTGGGGATGGAACTCAGGGCCCTGTGCATGGCAGGCAAGCATTTTTTACTGAGCCTTTTATTTTTTGTTTTTAATATCGTATTATTTTTATTTTATGTGTATGAGTGTATTGCCTGCATGTGTGTAAGTTCGCCTGTGTAGTGCAGTGCCTTCAGAGGTCAGAGGTCAGAGGTCAGATCCCCTGGAACTGGAGTTACAGACTGTTGTTAGCCATGTAGGTGCTGGAAACCAAACCCTGCCGCTCTGTAAGAGCAGCCAGTGCTGCTCTAGCTATCTGAGCCATCTCTCTAGCCCCAAGCCTTTTGTTTTTGTTTTGAGGCAGGGTCTCACTCTAACTCAGGCTGGCCTGCACATCCGTGTGATCTTCCTGCCTCAGCCTCCCCAGTGCTGGAGTGGATTTTTTTAAAATTTATTTTTATTTATTTATTTATTTAATTTATTATTTTTACACCCACTTCCAGGTTAGCACCCTCCCATAGCTTCCCTCCCCCCACTAGAGCCCTTATACTCTGATATCCCTGCTACTGTCGGCCGTGTTGTTGGCACCCCCAGCCGTTCCATACTACTTGCCCTTCTGGTGAATCTAGTCAGCCTATCTAGAGGTCTTTGTTTTAGGAGGGTCAGCTGTTCCTCATCTAGCAGCAATCAGTTGTCAATATTCCATTAGATAAGATTGGGATCTGCTCTTCATTTTCCGAGTTCTATGCTGGGTTACTATCTGGGACTCCCTTTGGCCACTTGGGCCAACAACTCAAAAGAAGGTATTGCCTGTCTGGCATTGTTGCTTGTTATGTAACCTTTGGCTATATATATGGACTCTTATAAAATTATATTGGCCCCTTTAATCTTTGGTTATACTTTCTTTTTGGGTGTTTAAGGCCATACAGCTGGTCCAGATAAACCGATTTATTTTTACTCTTAAGGTTGTTTGAGGATCTGTTCCTCAGGGGTCACATGGGCTTGGGAGGAGCTCCTGGCTCCTTTCTTTTACCAGTTCTGCCTATGTGAAGATAAGTCAAAGGTCCTGCTCGACCATGGTTGGCTTTGCATGGAAGCATGGAGGAAATGATTCCAGTGTGTTGACCCTCCTCTTTATAGACTGGACACTGGTTCAAGTCCATGTTTTTGTGCATACCTCCTGCATCCCAGAGCAGGGCTCCTGCTTGACCTTCCACACCTCCTAGGGAGAAGCTGAACCCCAGCTCTGTCCATAGGGGATGCTGCTTACTGCATAAATCTGGGGGCCAGGATCACAGGGCTCTGTTCTGTCAGGGTTGGAGGGACCTTGGGTTGCAAGGGTCAGAGAGAGGAAAGGACTTGGCACACAGCCAGCAGAGGACCCATCCCCACTCTCCCTTCCTAACTAGGTAGAGTTCCGTACTGAAGTAGAATGGAGCAAGACTGCGCACTCACCAGCCCTGCTTCTCCAGATTCATTACTCATTTCCTTTCTCTCTCTTTCCTTTCCCTCCTCCTTCTTTCTTCCATTCTTTTATTACATTCATGTGTGTGTGTGTGTGTGCATGCCATGTGCATGTGGAGGTCAGAGGATGACTTGGGGAAGTCCCTGAAGTGTGGATCCCAGGGACTGAATTCTGGACATTAGGCTTGGAAAAAAAGCCTAATGGGTAATTGGCCTTTACCCATTGAACTATCTTGCCAGCCCCCTCTTTGTGTGTGTGTGTGTGTGTGTGTGTGTTGTGTCTGTGTTTGAAACAGATTTCACTCAGTGGCCCATGCTGGCCTCAGCAATCCTGCTGCCACAGCCTTCCAGGTGCTGGGATTATAGGCTATGAGACACCATACCAGCTTAGACTCAATTTTCAGCTCTGCTGGCAGCATTCATGAAAGAGGAAGTGAGGCCTGAGTGCTTTCTCAGTCTCCTCAGCTTAGGGGCCCCTGCCCCCGCTATAGCCTTCCCCATTGTGGCTGTGGTCATCTGCCTCTTAGTCAGGGTCTCGTCCTTCCTGCCTCAGGCTGTGTCACAGCCTTGGGGTCACCCTTTTCCATGGAGATCAAGGCCCTGGTGCCATCTGCCAAGTGGAAGAACTTGGCTTCAACAGTTTTCTACACAAACTGTGAGGTTCACTCGTCTTTAGCAACGTTCCCATTCAACAAGTATTTACGGAGTCCCTCCTGTGTGTTTGGGCTTGTACAGTGTGCTGAGGGTGCAGTTGTGAATAACAAACCTCTTTAGACAGTTTCATGTATCCCAGGCTGGCCTCAGACTCACTATATAACTGAGAACGTCTGAGGAAGATCTTGAACTTTTATTGTTTTGATTTTTATTTTAAGTATAAGTGTTTAACCTGTATGTTAAGTGCACTCATGAGTATAGTGCCTGCAGAGGGCAGAAGAGGGAACTGGAGTTAGGGACAGTTGTTAGACGCCATGTTGGGTGCTGGGAACAGAACCTGAGCTGAGCAGTGCTCTTAACTGCTGAGCCATCTCTCAGATTCCTCTTTTTTTAATTTTTTAGACAGGATTTCCCTGTTGCTCCAGCAGGCCTGGAATTCATTATGTAGACCAGGCTGATTTCAATATCACAGAGATACAGCTGTCTCTGTCTACCAAGTGCTGGGATTAAAGGAATGAGCCACTATGCCTGGCCTCCCTTGAACTTTTGATCCTCCTGCTTACACCCCTCAAATGCTAAGGTTACCAGCATGCATCACCATATTTTTAGTGCAGTGCTGGGGATGGAACTCAGGGTCTCATACATGCTTGGTAAACACTGTAGCACCTGAACTGTATCGCCATCCATGACTCCAGCTCTTCTTTCCCTAGTGGGGCCCAACCCTGGACATGCCAGTTCCCTCCAGCTTCAATGACATCACCCAAGAGCCAGAGTTGCGGAACTTTATTGGCTGGGTATGGTACGAGAGGGAAGCAACCCTGCCTCAACGATGGACACAAGACACAAGGATGAGAGTGGTGCTGAGGATCAACAGTGCCCATTACTATGCCGTCGTGGTCAGTGTGGGGTGTGGCTGGTGGAAGGACCATAGTCCTGGCTGCTGAGTAGGGATCTGTGCCTGGGGCCAGGGAAAGGGGTGATTCATTGGCTCAGTGGGAGCTCCATTTCCCCATCAGGCTGGTGGCAGGGCCCTGGGCCCCCCATATGTTACACTTTTGGAAGGGAGTGCCCGAGAGCAGAGCCCTCTTTACACCATGGCCTGTTGCCCTCTACTCTTCTCTCTTTGTGTCTTCAGTGGGTGAATGGGATTCATGTGGCAGAGCATGAGGGGGGCCACCTCCCCTTTGAGGCTGACATCAGCAAGCTGGTCCAGAGTGGGCCCCTGTCCTCCTGCCGGATCACCATTGCCATCAACAACACACTGACTCTCCACACTCTGCCTCCTGGGATGATCATCTACAAGACTGATACCGCCATGTGAGCAGCATCCTACCTCATTCCCACTCCCTGCCCTGCCCAGTGGGCTTCCCACTAAGGACAGGGTGGCCTCAGCCCTGAATCTGGGGAGACCGGGGGAGGGGGACACACATAAATTGACATCAAAGGGTACAGAGGGCTAGAGAGATGTCTCAGTGGATATAGCACTTAGGCAAACATCAAGACCTGAATTTGTAGCCCAAGAACCAATGTAAAGCTGAGTGGAGTAGGTCCCATTTGTAATACCAGGGCTCTCCAGTGCTCCCATGGGGAATTGGGAGGTAGAGATAGGTGGATTCTAGAAGCTCTCAGACCAACTAGAACAAGGGACTCTGTCTCGATGTGGAAGATGAGGAACAACACCCGAGGGTGTCCTCTGACCTCCACATGTGCACCGTGATGCACACTTACATCCACACACAAGATTTAAAAAAAAAAAAAAAAAGACATAGGACCAGTTGACTTTGTTCTTTTGCTCTAGGTATCCAAATGGTTACTTTGTCCAAGAGACAAGCTTTGACTTCTTTAACTATGCGGGACTGCATCGGTCTGTGGTCCTCTATACCACCCCTACCACCTACATTGATGACATCACTGTGACCACTGATGTGGACCAAGAAAATGGTGAGGGCTCTTGACAGGAGGATCTGCACTAGGCTGAGCCCAACCTATCTCAATTCCTGAGAGGAAACAATCCCTCAGAAAAAGGCTTTTAGCATCTGGGAACCCTCATCTGTTCCATCACCTTCAGAAGCCAAGACCCAGCCCTCCCAAGCCAATGAGGGCTTCAGAAATCACCCATCATCTTGACCTCACTTTGCCAAGAAGTGAGGCACAGTGAGGAGTAGGGTCTTCCTAAAGTGACACAGCTCAGCATAAGTCATGTGACTCCTCTATTGTACCCGCCTCAGTCTCCCTCCCTGCATAGTGAACTGGAAAACCAAGCCATTGTTTGCTGGATTCTTGGGGCCTGAGGTGACTTCTGGGAGTGGGTGTTTACAGAGTGCTCCCATCTGCCTCTATCTGGATCTCTTGTTTCTCACAGGGCTAGTGAATTACCAGATTTCTGTCCAGGGCACTGAACACTTCGAGCTAGAAGTGCGACTTTTGGATGAGGAAGGCAAAGTCGTGGCCCAGGGAACAGGGGACCAGGGTCAGCTGTGGGTGCCCAGTGCCCATCTCTGGTGGCCTTACCTGATGCACGAGCACCCTGCCTACCTGTACTCCTTGGAGGTAATGGTGATTTGGGACTGGCAGTCGGAAAGCCTTTGGCTGCCACCTGGTGGCTGTGACTTCAGCAGGAGACGGACAGGTAACTAGGCAGGCACTGTCCCAGATTTTTGGCCTTTTCTCACCCTTTGTGGAAAAGTCCAGATATCAGGAGCAGGTCGAAAGAGCAGGTTCTGCCTTCTCAAAGACAGAGATGGTTTCTGCATCTCAGCTTGCAAGCTTGTGGGATATGCAGATCTTTTTTAGCTGGTCTAGGGGACAATGGGGTCAAATGAGTCTAGGAATTTTAGGCCAGCCTGAACAACATGGTGAGATCTCATTAAAAAAAAAAAAAAAAAAGCCAGGGACTGGAGGGATGGCTCAGTGGCAAAGAGCACTAACTGCCCTTGCAGAGGACCTGGGTTTGGTTCCCAGCACCCACAGGTAGCTAACAACTGTAACACTAGTTCCAGGGGATCTGGCACCCTCTTCTGGCATCTACAGACATTGCATGCATGGGTACACATAAGTACATGCAGGCAAAACACATATAAAATAATAATTTTTTTTTTTGGTGTTTTTGAGACAAGGTCTCCCTGTAGCCCCAGCTGTCCTGGAACTCACTATGTAGACCAGGCTGGCCTCAATCTCACAGAGATCTGCCGGCCTCTGCCTCCTGAGTGCTGGGAATAAAGGCATGCACCATCATGCCTCGCTTAAAAATTAAGTCAAACTTGGTACATACCTACAATTCCAGCACCCAGAAGGGTGAGGCAGGAGGATTGCCATGAGTTTGAAGCCAACCTTGGCTACATATTTCCAAGTAATCCTAGGACACATAACTGAACCCTTTCTCAAAAAACAAACAGGCTGGAGAGCTGGCTCAGTAGTTTGAATATCCACTGCTCTTGCAAAGTACCTGAATTGGGTTCCCAGCACCTACATTGAGTGGCTCAAACCTGTAACTCCAGTTCTGGGGGTATCCAATGCCTGTGGCTTCCTCCTCAGGCACGTGCATTCTTGTGCACATACCCAAACACACACCAGTACACACAACTTAACAGCCAGGCATGGTAGTGCACACCTTTAATCCCAGCACTCGGGAAGTAGGGGCAGGCAGATCTCTGAGTTCAAGGCCAGCCTGGTCCATATAGTGAGTTCCAGGCCAGATGGGGCTATAAGGAGACCCTATCTCAAAAAGACCAAAAAATAAAAATAAAATAAATAAAACAAAATAAACAGCTGGGTGTGGTGGCACACACCTATAATCCTAGTATTTGGGATGTGGGTGCAAGAGGATGAGGAGTTCAAAGGTCATCCCTAGATACATTGTGAGTTTAAGGCCAGCCTGGGCTGCATGAGACCCTATGTTAAAAAAACAAACAAAAAAGCCCCTGATAAATAGAACCAGAAGCTGGAAGGATTGCTCAGCAGTTAAGAGAACTGGCTGTTCTTGCAGAGGACCTGAGTTTGAGTCCCAGCACCCACATGGCAGCTAACAATCATCTGTAACTCCAGTTCAGGGGATCTGATGCCCTCTTCTGACCTCTGAGGGCATTGTACAACATGGGTGCACTTACACACATGTAGGCAATACACTCATACATATAAATATAATTTAAAAAGCTGGGCGTAGTGGTGCACACCTTTAATCCGAGTGTTTGGGAGGCAGAGCAGGCAGATCTCAGTGAGTTCCAGGCCAGCCTGGTCGACATAGTGAGTTCTAGGTCAGCTGGGGCTACAGGGAGACCCTGTCTCAAAAAGCCAAAAAACAATAAAATAAGAATTTTAAAATAATAAAATATTAGCCGGGCGTGGTGGCGCACGCCTGTAGTCCCAGCACTTGGGAGGCAGAGGCAGGCGGATCTCTATGAGTTCAAGGCAAGCCTGGTCTACAAAGTGAGTTCCAGGACAGCTCGGGCTACATGGAAACCAACCCCAGAACCACTGCCCATGTGAGTTGTATGGGGACGCTGTCTTCCCTGCTGAAGGGTGGCAGTCTGCCAGGGTCCTCATGCTTGGCCTGTTGTCTCTTGTAGGTGAGGATGACCGTACCAGCTGGGCCTGTGTCTGACTTCTACACCCTCCCCGTAGGGATTCGCACGGTGGCTGTCACAGAGAGCAAGTTCCTTATTAATGGGAAGGCTTTCTATTTCCACGGAGTCAACAAGCATGAGGATGCAGACGTGAGTTGTGGCTGCGGTGTCCCTGTGTAGGCTGCTGGAGGTCACTGCCATCTTCTTGACCTTCCCCTTCCTCTTGTGCCCTGAAGACACCACCCTGTGCTGGAGTTTGTGTGGGGCCTGGACAGAGGGTAGATCAGGTGACTGCAGGGGCCTGGCTTTAGAAGAAAGTGAGTCCTCTCCAGCGACAGGGGGCAGGTGTCATGCTGCTCTGCTGTCCCCTAGATTCGAGGAAAGGGCTTTGATTGGACATTGGTGATGAAGGACTTCAACCTCCTACGCTGGCTCGGTGCCAACTCCTTCCGAACCAGCCACTACCCCTACGCAGAGGAAATTCTACAGCTCTGTGACCGCTATGGGATTGTGATCATCGATGAGTGTCCTGGTGTGGGCATCGTGCTGCCGTGAGTGCTCACCACCCACACTGCCCAGCCCGCCCAGCTCTGCAGCCTTTGGTGACATCCACACCTTTTCCTTTCTGGCTCTACAGCCAGAGTTTTGGCAACGAGTCTCTTCGGCACCACCTAGAGGTGATGGAGGAGCTGGTGCGCAGGGACAAGAACCATCCAGCTGTCGTGATGTGGTCTGTGGCCAATGAGCCCTCTTCTGCACTGAAACCCGCTGGTTACTACTTCAAGTGAGTGCCCTTCTTCCCCTGGGCTGGTCAGGCTTGTGAGCTCATCTTTTGGCCTGGTGCAACCCCGACTGGCAGACTGCAGAGCTGAAGTCAGCCTTGCAGGAGACGCTGACTTTCACAAGCACCCATCACACACCCCAGCATTTCCAGGGAACAAATCTACCCACCCAAATTGTGGGTTTCCCACCCAGTAAGACAGACCTAGTCACACTAGAAATGAAATCTAGAGTTAATTTGTAATACAGAATTTGAGATTTTACCTAATTTTATTTTATTATCATTTTTTCCTGACACAATTTCTCTACGTAGCCCTGGCTGAACTCAGACTACAGTGATCCTCCTGCCTGTGTCCTGAGTGCTGATTACAGACATGAGCCACCATGCCTGAAAATGTTTTAAATTTGTTTATGTGCTAAGTATGCCTGCCTGCATGTGTATATGTGCACCACGTGTGCCATTGACTGCAGAGGTCAAAGGAGGGTGTCAGGTTCCCCCTAGAATTGAAGTTACAGGTGATTATGAGCTGTCATGTGGGTGCTGGGAGCCAAACCTGAGTCCAGCCCTTTTTGTTATTTTTTTTGAGCTAGGGTCTCAAATAACCCAGGATGGTCTTAAACTTGCTATTACTATGTAGCCAAGGCTTGCCTTTAACTGTTGATCCTTCTGCCTCTACTTCCTGCTCAGTACTAGAATTACAGGTATATGAAACTACACATAGCATTTATTTATTAAATCTTTTATAGATAGAAACACATTAAAAATCATAGAAAACCACTGTGATGCTTTGGGGTCACCCTTGTAAAACCAATTTACATACGTAAACGATTTGAAATGGGATTTTAATGGCATGCAATTTTTTAATTAAAAAATATTTTTATATTTATGAATGTTTTGCCTGCATGTATGTCAGTGCACCACATACATGTAGTGCTGGTGGAAGAGGGTGCTAGATCCCCTGGAACTGGAGTTAGAGATGATTGTCAGTTGCCTTGTGGGTGTTGGGAACTGAACCCGTGTCCTTTACAAAAGCAGCAAATGCTCTTAACCACTGAGCCGTTTCTCCAGCCCTGGTATGCAAATTTTCAGTTATTTTGTGGTGTTTGGGATCAAATCCAGGGCCCTGTCCATGCATGCTGCTACTGAGCTACACCCTCAGCCCCACTTCTCTGTCACGTGGTTGTCAATTTTAGGGGCAAATTACACTATTTACCATAGAAGCAGCAGAGACCACTGAAGCGTCCCAAAACCAACATTGCATCCCAATTTTATGCAGTATCCTGAGCTCGCTGAGTCTGTAGAACCGAGAGGCCTTGAGGGGTGTCCCTAGCTTGGGCAAAGGATAGCTATGGACATGCATAGTTCTCCAGAGCTATGGGGGTACAAACGGCTTTTGAGCTAGGGTTGAATGGATAGAACTTTTGTCTCAAAGGGGAAGTGTACAGGTTCCTGAGACCTCCAGACAAGCTTTTCAAGGAGGTGGTGAGGGAGATGCATGCGTTCTGGGATGGGAGAGACAAGACCAGATGGACAAGGCTGGCCAGGCTGGAGTAGCCCAGACAGGTTTTCCCTGACCTGGAAGTTTCCAGCATGATAAGCTGTTTGAACAGCTTATATACACTAACAACACTACAGTTCATAACATCTGAGCTGAGGTGTTCAGGCAACATTCATGACATTGCAAGATGTATACAGTGCAAAGTGCACATACTATGTGTTCAAAACCAAGGCTGAAGTGAAGTCAACAACTTGGTATGGGAAAATGCTGCCAAAGATATTTACATTTTTATATGTGTGTGTGGGGCATATGCATTCATGTGAGTGCAGGTACCTGTGGAGGCCAGAAGAGGACATTGGATCTCCTCCATCTGGAGGAGTTACAGGTGGTTGTGAGCTATCTTATATGGATGCTAGGAACTGAAATCAAGTCCTCTGTAGGAGCAATATGTGCTCTTAACTGCTGAGCCGTCTTAGCCTCTCTTTTTTTTTCTGAGACAGGCCCTCCCTGTAGCCCCAGCTGGCCTGTAACTTGCTGTATGGACCAGGCTGGCCTCAGTCTCACAGAAGTCTGCCTCTGCCTCCCCAGTGCTGGGATTAAAGGCGTGTACCACCACACCCGGCCCACCTCTTAATTCAAATTGTGTCCCCTGAGATTGTTTCATTGGGTCCTGTGTTCCCCTTCATCATTCCTGCTGCACGCCTTGACTTTCAGCTTGTACCAGGGTCTCTGTTCCCAAGGCTCCGTGCAGCCATGTTCTTAGCCATGAGCTACCACAAAACCCTCAGCACCAGCCTGTTACATTAAACAGTATCCTGTCCTAATTCTTACCCATCCCTTCCTATCCAAGAATGTCATCTGAGTTTCAGAACCTAGTTTTTGGCAGTGTCTCACTTCAGTTCTGTGTACCTGCTCCCTGCTGTGAGAGCAGGCTGGCTTTTGGTTTACTGGGAATCATAGTGGGAGAGAGAAATCGTTGTAGGGGACCATGACTTTGAGCTAGATCTCTACACACTGCTAGCTCACCTGCAACACACATTAAGGTCCGGAGGGAAACAATGGCAGTTTTTTATCGTGGCTGGGGGGGCGGTGGGGATGGGAGGTAGAAGAGAAAGGTGTCCAAGAGTCTTCCCAGACTGACAGGCTTGTCTTCTGCCTTCCATGGACAGGACGCTGATCACCCACACCAAAGCCCTGGACCCCACCCGGCCTGTGACCTTTGTGACCAACGCGAAATATGATGCAGACCTGGGGGTGAGCCTGTGGGGGTCCCCATTGCAGTCTGTGCTCTCCTGTGCTTGGCTTTTAGTCTTGTCATACTTGCTAACATGAACCAGGAGTTGCCAGTTCAGTGATTTCACAACTGGTCTTAAGGTTAAAGAGACTTAACTTTGCTTACTTGCCAAGCAGTGTGGCTTCTAACCCCAAGGAGGTTGGGCTACATCCAGGGCAATGTACTTGTTCACAGTGTAGACTCAGGGTTGGTTTTTTTTTAGTCTTTTTTGAGACAGGGCCTCCCTGTAGCCCCAGCTGTCCTGGAACTATGTAGACCAGGCTGGCCTTGAACTCACAGAGATCCACCTGCCTCTGCCTCCAGTGTGCTGGGATTAAAGGCGTGAGCCACCACATCCAGCTCAGGGTTGTTTTTTTTTTTTAAATTTTTTTTTTAATTACTCTTATTTTATGTGTATGAGTATCTTGCCTGCATGTATGTAAGTGCACCCGTGTCATGCCATGCCCACAGAGGTCAGAAGAGTGTATTGGATCCCCTGGAACTAGAGTTATAAACAGTCGTGAGCCACCATGTGGGTGCTGGGAACTGAACCCCTGTAAGAGCAGCCAGTGCTCTTAACCACTGAGCTATCTCTCCAGCCCTGTTTGTTTTTGAGGCAAGGTTTAAAAGTTACTGTTGGGCCAGGTGTGGTAGCATACACCTGTAATCCCAGCACTTGGGAGGCTGAGAAAGATCATGAGTTTGAGGCCAGCCTAGACAACAGAGAGACCTTCTCAGGAAAAAAGAAACCAAACAAAACATGATGTGGGTAGTAGGTGAGAGGCTGTGTGGAAACAAGGCCAAAAAGGGGCTGTCTCTGAGGTTCCCACAGCATGCATCCATAACTCCAGTTCCAGGGGGATCTGATGCCTTATTGGGACCTCTGTACTACACATTGCATGACATGGGTGCACTTACATACATGCAGGCAATACACTCATACACACAAAATAAAAATAATATTTAAAAAAAAATCAAAGGGATGGCTCCTTGCTGGCTCTGCAGCCCAGTTTCTTCTGCACCATGCAGCCCCTTCACTGTCCCTGCATTCACTGGCCTGGGCACAGCAGCCCACTGACACTTGGGAGCAAGAAAATGCCTGAGGCCAAAGGGCAGTAAAGAAGAAGGAAGTGCAGCAGAAAGAGAAACATTGTAACTGGAAATCCAAAAGCTGTCTTTTAAAAAAAATTTTTACGTGTATGCGTGTGTTGCCTGCATGTAGGTAAGTGTATCCGTGTCGTGCAATACCTGTGGAGGTCAGAAGAGGCTGTCGGATCCCCTGGGACTGGAGTTATGGACAGTTGTTAGCTGCCATGTGGGTGCTGGGATTTGAACTCGGGTCTTCTGCAAGAACAACCAGTGTTCTTAACTGCTGAGCCATCTTTCCAGCCCCCAGAAGCCATCTTATTATTTTAATATAGTGTTTTTTACATTAATTTTTATGTGTATTAGTGTTATGCCTGCATGTATGTCAAGTGTACCCGTGTCATGCAGTGTCTGAGGTCAGAAGAGGGTGCCAGATCTCCTGGAACTGGAGTTATAGACAGTTTTAGCTGCCGTGTGGGTGCTGGGAACTGAACCTGGGTCCTCTGCGAGAGCAGCCAGTGTTCTTAACCACTGAGCAATCTCTCCAGCCCTCTTAATATATTATTTTTGAGGCAAGGTCTCATGTAACTCAGGCTGGCTTTGAACTTTTTGATTCTCCTGCCTCCACCTCTCCAGTGCTAGCATTACAGGCCTGAAACACTACACCCCATTTTAGGTGGTGCTGGGAATCAAACCCAGGACCTTGTGCATGCTAGACAACACTGTACCAATGGAGCTACATCTCAGACCTTATTTAAAATCATATGTATTTGTCTGTATGTGTCTCTTTGCATGTGTGCAAATGCCCTTGGAAGTTGTCAGATCCCCTGGAGCTGGAGTTAACAGGCAGTTTTGAGACACCTTAAGTAGGTGCTTCGAACTAAACGGGTTAATTGCAAGAACAGGATGAAGTATTAACTGTGGAGCCATCTCTCCAACCCCAGCCCTTTTAATTTTTCGAGACAAGGTCTGACTATGTAGCTCAGGCTGGCCTTAAACTTGTGATCCTCCTTGCCTTAGCCCCTCGAGTGGTGGGATCACAGGTGTGTTGCTTTGCCAGACTGAAACTACCATTTCACATGGATGAAGAAAGCCTTGTTAGCCTGGGTTCTCTCACTGTGTCCCTAGAGCACACCCTTCAAAACAGAGGCAGCACGGAGACACTAGGGAGGCCCATATGCATGGGAACGTGCTCAAAGCCCAGGTGGGAGCTTTGCTGGGTGTCCTGTGCCTGGTCTCTTCACCTGGAGGTGTTTGCTTCATGAACTGGCTCTGACTGACCTCAGCAGCTCTTTGCTGCCTGCATTTACCCTTCACAGCCTGGAGGGGGCTGTGGTCACTGGGGAAAGACCTCTGGAGTCAAAGCAAATCTTTGGAGCTGAATATTTTCACTAGAAAAAGAGGGAGAGAGTTGGGGGGGGGGGCAGGCACCAGCTAGATGCAGGACTCTTTCTTGCCCAGTCCTAGTACTACTGTGTTTGGGCATGAGGCCTTCCTGTCCCTATCCTACTGTTGCCTCACCACTGCCTATAAAGAAATCTAGCTGATCTGCTATTGTAAGCACTACTTCCTCTGCACGGTATCTGGTAAGATTCTTTGTGAGGGAGCCTGGGAACATGCCTCAGTGGTCCAGTGTGTGTTTGGTATGCACAAGCCCTTTGGGTGCACCCCCAGCACCCCCTCAAAATTGACTGGAGGATTGAGGATGTAGCATACATAAAACCTTGTGTTCAGTCCCCACCACAGTATAAAACCAGATATGGTAGTACATGCTTCTAATTCACAGGCACTTGGGAAGTGGGTAGTGGAGGTAGGAGGATTATTAGTTCAGTCTTGGCTACATAGGAGTTTGAGGCAGAGCTACTTCATGAAGCCAACACCTCCAGGTGAAGAGGCCAGGCACAGGACACCCAGCAAAACTCCCACCTGGGCTCTAAGGGTGTTCCCATGCATATGGGCCTTCCTAGTGTCTCCATACAGCCTCTGCTGTGATGTCCCTGCTCTAGAGACACAGCCTGGCAGGGTAACACATACCTGTGATCCCAGCATTCAGGAGTTTGAAGCCAGCTTAGGCTATAAGACTATCTCAAAAAATAAACTGTGAAGAGAAAAACTACATCTATTTTTCTGGATGGATCACATCTCCAGGCAAAAGTGATGGTAGGCCCGTGGCAGGAATTGAAAGAAGCAAAGTCCAGTAGGGCTAGTGTGCTGGATAGCTTCAGTTGTCAACTTGACACATGTGGGTGGAGGGAACCACAGTTGAGGAATTGGCTCTATTGGATTGGTCTGTGGGCATGTCTATGAGCCTTTTTTTTTCATTGTTGAATGATGCGGGAGGGCCCATGTCACTGTGGGCCATGCCACCCCTGGGCAGGCCATCCAAAGTTGTAGAAGAAAACAGGCTGAGTGTGGACCAGAGGAGCAAGTCAGTAAGCAGTCTGTGGTTCAGTTCCTGCCTCCAGGTTCCAGCACTGACTTCCCTCAGTAATGAACCTGGGAAATATAAGGTAAAATAAACCCTTTCTTCCCCAAGTTGTTTTTGGTCAGAGTTTTTAATCACAGCAATCAAAAGTAACTGGGGCAGTTGGGAACTTGGATGACGGCCTACTTTGCTTCTTGTTCCCTTCAGAATCCAAGGGGAGCCTTAGTCCAGCATTATAGACTGGCTTGATTTGGGTCACTTCTTGGCTTTATTTCCTGCACATGGGGCAGGGTAACTTCAGTCACCCTCTGCATTCCCTTCTTACCTTCCCAGAAGAGGAGCTCATGACTACTAAGCTCATGCTAATGTTCTCGACCCAGGCTCCCTATGTGGACGTGATCTGTGTGAACAGCTACTATTCTTGGTACCACGACTATGGGCACTTGGAGGTGATTCAATTGCAGCTGAAGACCCAGTTTGAGAAATGGTATAAGACTCACCAGAAGCCTATTATTCAGAGCGAGTATGGAGCAGAAGCAATCACAGGGTTTCACCAGGTGAGTGGTGTACAGCCCTCTGTTCTGTCACTCGGCTGGACAGCGATGTCAGTCGCTCCCCAGACTTTCCCTGCCTTCAGTTGTAATGAAGGACCGTGCTGCAGTTCTCAGACACCTATACACATTGACACCCCTCTGTGTAAACCTTGGCCTAGCATGTGGGGACCTCAGAGACAGCCCCCTTTTGGCCTTGTTTCCACATAGCCTCTCACCTACTACCCACATCATGTTTTGTTTGGTTTCTTTTTCCTGAGAAGGTCTCTCTGTTGTCTAGGCTGGCCTCAAACTCATGATCTTTCTCAGCCTCCCGAGTGCTGGGATTACAGGTGTGTGCTACCACACCTGGCCCAACAGTAACTTTTAAACCTTGCCTCAAAAACAAACAGGGCTAGAGAGATAGCTCAGTGGTTAAGAGCACTGGCTGCTCTTGCAGAGGACCTAGGTTTGATTCCCAGCACCCACATGGCAGCTAACAATGGTCCTTAACTCCAGTTCCAGGGTATCCAATGCCCTTTTCTGACCTCTGTGGGTAGTGCACAACATGAGTGCACTTAACACACATGCAGGCAATATGCTCAAACACATAAAAATAAATAAGGTATGGTGGCTCATGCCTTTAATCCCAGCCCTTGGGAGGCAGAGGCAGGTGGATCTCTATGAGTTCCAGGCCATTTGTGGCTACAGGAATACCCTGTCTCAAAAAGGTAAAAAAATAATAGACCCTTGGCAGTGATGGAAAAGGTTTGTATTGGCCCTACTCAGGTATGGTATGAGGGTCTATACTGTGAATACTGTAACTGAATTGATTAAGTGTATTAATGCAGGTCTACTTCCTTTAAGGTATGATGGCACATCTGTATTGGCACTTTGGAGATGGAGGCAGTTCAAGGCTAGCCTCAGCAATATGTTGAGTTTCAGGCCAGCCTGGGCTACAGGAGACTGCTCAGTGGGTTAAAGTGCTTGCCACATAAACATGAGGACCCAAGTTCAAATCCCAGAACCCACACAATGCCTGGCACAGTGGAACACATCTGTTATCTATGTTCTCTGGCAGGCAGAGACAGGAGAGTCTCTGTTAGCTTCCTAGCCAGCTAGCCTGGCACATACAGTGGCAAACAAGTGAGACCTTTGGGCGGATGTGGTGGTGCAAGCCTTTAATCCCAGCACTGGGGAGGCAGAGGCAGGTGAATCTCAGTGAGACTGAGGCCAGCCTAGTCTACATAGTGAGTTCCAGGCCAGCTTGGCTACAGGGAGACCCTACCTCAAACAAAAAAGCAAAAAAGGGTCTAGAGAGATGGCTCAGGAGTTAAGAACACTGGCTACTCTCACAGAGGACCCACAGTTTCCAGTGTCCAACATGGCAGCTAACAACCATCTAACTCCAGTTCCAGGGTATCCAACACCCTCTTCTGGCCTCCACAGGCATTGCACAACACAGGTGCACCTAGCTACATGTAGGCAATACACGCACACACATAAAATAAAAATATTTTTTTTAAAAAAAAGATCTTGTCTCAAACAAGGTGGAAAGCAAGGACTGACACCCAAGGTAGTCCTCTGATCTCTACATGCTTGTGCCCATGTGTGCACATGCATACATGCGCACAAACACAAATATACAAAAGATTTTAAAAGAATAATAAAAATCATCTTTGTGAGCCTGGTTTATATAACAAATTCCAGGCAAGCTAGGGTTACAGAGAGACCTTGTCTCAAAAAGACCAAGACTTTTTAAAAAAAAAGTTGAGGCAAAGTAATTTAGCTTTGAGAATTGGTAGCAATGGGGCCTGTGGAGATGGCTCAGCAGGTAAAACACTTATCATGTAAATTCAAGGACCAGAGTTCAGATCCATCACCCACATAAGTGCCAGGCAGGTGTGGCAGACCACCTGTAATCCAGCACTTAAGAAGCAGAGGCGGGGTGGTAGGGCAGTCCCCAGAGCAAGCTGGCTAGCTAGACTAACAGAAATGGTATGGTTTGAGTTCAGCAGGAGACCCTGCACCATTAAGGTGGAGCATAATTGAGTAAGACACCTGATTACAACCTCTGGCCAACATACACACACACACACACACACACACACACACACACACACACACACTGGCAAATACAGAGTTACTAATTAAGATGGGTTTTTTTTGAGACAGGGTCTCACTATGTAGCTTTGACTGGTCTGGTCTGCAACTCACTATGTAGTCAGGCTAGCCTCAAACTGAGATCTACCTGCCTGTCTCCCAAGTGCTGGAATTAAAAGGTGTGTGCTACCAACCCCACTGAAGGTGTTTTTTTTTTTGTTGTTGTTGTTTTTTTAAAATCATTTTGGGAGCTGGAGAGATGGCTCAGCAGTTAAGAGCACTGACTGCTCTTGAAGAGGACTCTGGTGTGATTCCCAGCACCCACATGGCGGCTATGAACAGTCCTTAACTCCAGTTCCAGGGGAATCCAAAGCCCTCTTCTTACCTCCGCAGCATTGTATGACACGGGTGCACTCACATACACACAGGCAATACACTCATACACATAAAATAAAAATAATAAAATATTAAAAAAAATCATTTTCATGCTGGGTGACCTCAGATCCTGGCTGTGTCAGCTGAGTCCTGCAGTCAGTACAGCCCACCATGAACACAGATATTTTGGTCCTTGTCAAGTGGATCTTTTATTTTTATCTAACATTTCAGTTCCAACAGTTCTGATTCTTGCATTCTCTTTGCTTTGAATCCCAGGATCCGCCTCTCATGTTCAGTGAGGAGTACCAGAAGGCTCTCCTGGAGAATTACCATTCAGTTCTAGATCAGAAACGCAAAGAATACGTGGTTGGAGAGCTCATCTGGAATTTTGCCGATTTCATGACTAACCAGAGTAAGTGACTGTTTAGCTTATGGACTGGACCATTTTCTAATTTTTTCATGTTGGCCTTTTCAGGCCTAATCATTTGTTTGTAAGAATACTGAAAATGGGACTGGGGAGATAGTAAAGGACCTGGTCTATTTTACAATAATTAAGAGGGGAAAAATGGGGGCTGGAGAGATGACTCAGCAGTTAAGAGCACTGGCTGCTCTTGCAGAGGACTCAGGTTCTCTCAGATTCTCAGCACCTACATGGCAGCTATCAACCGTCCATAACTCCAGTTCCAGGGGATCCAGTGCCTACTTTTGACTTCCATGGGCACTGCATGACATGGGTGCACTTACACACACACAGCTAATACACTCATACACAGAAAATAAGATTAATATTTGAAAAAGGGGAAAATAGGCCTCAGATTGGATGTATTTTTGATAAATAATTCATTGTTTCATATTACTGAATTATAAAAAAACATTTCCCAAATACAGGTAAGTTCCAAAGCATTTTGAATAAAGTTCAGGTCTTCAAAGAGAATGTGGTCTGTACTTTCACAAAAAGGGAAGACACCCACTTAAGTTTCCAAATGAGTGAATGTTTGATTTCTCCCCACACCTCTAGACTTCTAGTTTCTCTCCCCCATCCCATTCCCTCTCTGTTCTTGACACAGTCTCTGTGACCCATGCTGGACTCAACCTTGTGATCCTCCTGCCTCCGCCTCACAAATTCTAGGATTACAGGCATGCGCCATCATGCCCAGCAATTTCCATTACATATATATGTTTGAGACAGGGTCTCATTGTGTAGACCTGGCTGGAACTAGCTATATATAGCAGGCTGGCCTTGAACTCAGAGATCCACCTGCCTCTGCCTCCCAAGTACTGGGATTAAAGGCATGCACCTTCAAAATATTTTAAATATTATTTTACAAGTATAAGAAAATCTGTTTTGAAATTTTCTTCTTCATATAGACTAGAAATTAATGTACCAGGAAGTTTAAGTGTTTGGGGAGAACAGTGATACTTACGTACTTTACCCTATAAGACATCCCTTTGGCTAACCTTACACCATAAGAGAACTTTCCTGTTTAGTTTCCACTTGGCCTTGAACTCAGAGATCCGCCTGCCTTTGCCTCCCATGCGTCTGCCTCTCGTGCCCAGGGGTTAAAGGTGTGCACCACCACACCCAGCTCAGCCCTTTTGTTTTAAATTTTTTATTACATTTACTTAGTGTGCATGTGTGGGTATGTATGTATGTGTTGGGGGGGCATACCATGATGGCACATAGGTTGTCAGACTTGGTGGCAGGTGCCTTCTGCTGAGCCATCTCACCAGTCCCTTGCTTTTTCTTTTTTCTTCAGCACCACTGAGAGTTATAGGGAACCGAAAGGGAATCTTCACTCGTCAGAGACAACCCAAAACTGCGGCATTTCTTTTGCGAGAGAGATACTGGAGGCTTGCCAATGAAACCAGGTATCACCATTCATTGCCGAAGATACAGTGTTTGGGAACCAGACCATTTACATTTTAAAGCCAAAACTACCTCACTGCCAGCGTAACCTCTGCTCCCCAAATGAAAGGCAGTTTCTCAACAGAGCAGGTGCCCTGTTCATAACACCCAGAGGACTTCTGGTTTGGATTTTGTGGTGATCTGTTAGAAGGGGACATTAGAGGTGACAATAAAACTTCTCTAATATGGGAGTAATGAGTGACTGTCCTTAGGCTCAGAGCTATGTCCTGCTGAGAAGTATGTGAAGTAATTTCTGTATGTCAGTTTTCAGCTGTAGCTCAATGCACTCCTGAGAAATTGCTGCATGGATGCTCATGTTGTGTTCATGGATGCTTACACTGTTAAGAGCTGCTGGTAAAACACTGCTCCATCACCCCAGGGCCACCTGTGCTTGGGTATCAAAATCAGGCTAGCCTAGGCCCAGTGCAAGTGAAAGACATGCTCATTAACCCCATAGAAGAGCCACAGTCCCACGGGTATTAATACATGCATAGAAGTGTTAAACAGTGCACTCACTGACTGACAGACGTGTGTACCAGTTTCCTCACAGTTGTGATGAAAAGTATAAGGTTTAAATGCTGAGGAGTTTGAGGTTGTTCCAACCTCAGCCAGTCTTGCTCCTGAGGCATAGCACACCTTGTTTTTTTAAGACAGGATCTCTCACTGGACTGATACTCACTGAATAGGCTACACTGGCTGGCCAGGGAGCCCTAAGGTTCTGTCTGCCTGTGTGCTGAGATTACAAGCACATGCCACTATGCCCAGCATTTTTTTTTTTTTAATGTGCAGGAGTGTTCTGCTTGCATGTATTTAAGTGCACTGGTGCCTGCAATGCTGAGGCCAAAAGAGGGCCCCTGGAACTAGAGTTAAAGACAGTGGCTGTTAGCTGCCATGTGAGTGCTGGGAACCAAACCTAAGTCTTCTGCAAGAGTAGCCAGTGCTCTTAAGCACTGAGCCATCTATACAGCCCCCATGCCCAGCTTTTTTACATGGGTTCTGGGGATTGAACTTAGGTTCTCATGCTTGCACAGCAAGCACCTTACTTGACTGAGATATCTTCTCAGGTCCCCCATCATCCAGTCTTGACAAACAGACAAGTATGTGTTTAAGTCCAGCCAACTTGTGGGTGCTGAGAATCCAACCTGGGTCTTCTGCAAGAGCAGTCAGTACTCCTAAGCGCTGAGCCATCTCTCCAACCCCCAAGCAGTCTTTTTTTTTTGAGACAGGATCTTATGCATCTCAGGCTAACGACTTGAACTTTTCTTTTGAGACAGAATCTCACTATGTAGCTCTGGCTGTCCTGGAAATAGCTATGTAGACTAGGCTGGACAAACTCAGCTGCCTGCCTCTGCTTCCAAAGTGCTGGATTAAAGGTGTGCATCACCACACCTAGCCTGACCTTGAACTTTTAAAATTATTTATTTACTGTGTATTTGCCTATGTTTGTGAGTGTGTTCATAACAACACCTGTGGAGGTCAAAGAACCACTTATTGGCTCTCCTTCCACCTTGTAGGTTCTGGGGACTGACTTCAGGTCAGGCTTTGCAACAAGTAGCTTGACCCACTGAGGCATCATCTCATTGGCCTGACCTTGAACTTTTTGTGTGTGTGTATTGCCTGCATGTGTGTAAGTACACCCATGTTGTGCAATGCCCACGAAGGTTAGAGGAGGGTGTTGGATTCCCCTGGAACTGGAGTTACAGATGGCTGCAAGCCACCATGTCGGTACTGGGAATTAAAAACCTGGGTCCTATGCAAGAGCAGTCAATGCTCCCAACCGCTGAGCCATCTCTCCAGCCCCCTGACCTTAAAACTCTTCATCTTCCTACTTCCACCTCTTGAGTTCAGGGATTACAGATGTCCATCAGCACACCCAGTTTATTCAAAACCCAGGGCTTCACACACCCCAGGCAAGCTACCAACAGAATTATATACCCAGCCGAAGTTCTAAAGTTTTAATGCAAAACACATGTGTTCTGTTCAGTGCAAGATGAGTAAGTTAAATTTCAAATGAACTCATCTTGCTTATAAATTTTTCCTCTATGTAACAAGTAAGTAGTGATACCTTTTGTCAACTGTTTTTTGAGAGTGTCTGACATAGCCTAGTCTGGTATCCAACTCCTAATCCTCCTGCCTCCATCTCCCAAGTGATTGGATGACAGGCATGTACTGTCTCCCCCTCCCCGCCCCACCCCCTTACAGTATGCTAGGAATTGAACTCGGGGCCTGCTAGACAAATGCGCTACTTCTGAGCAATGCCCCCAGCCATGTCAATATTCCTAAATTTTATTTATCTATTTTTATTTTAAAGTATTTTATTATTTTTATTGTATGCATATGCATGTATTGCCTACATGTAAGTACACCCATTATGAAATGCCCACGGGGGTCAGAAGAAGGTGTTGAATTCCCCTGGAACTGGAGTTACAGATGGTTGTCAGCTGCCATGTGGGTGCTGGGAATCGAACCCAGGTCCTCTGCAAGAGCAGCGAGTGTTCTTAACCACTGAGCCACCTCTCTGGCCTTTATTTTTAATGTGTTTTGCTGCATACAAGTTAAGTGCATCAGTGTATGCACTGCCTGTGGAAGCCAGAGGACAGCATTAAGTCCCTTGGAACTGGAGTTATAGACAACTGTGAGCTGCTGAGTATGCTGGGAACTGAACCCGGGTCCTGTGGAAGAGCAGTCAGTGCTCTTAACTGCTGAGCCATTTCTTCAGCTCCCCGTCACTGATTCTTGACAACCACAAATGTATTAAGCCCACAAGAATTCTACGAACTATAATCTAAGAAATTTGTACCTTCTATAAATTATACACAATTAAGAGACAGGGTTACTGTATCATGCATATTCTAAAGTTCTTCCTGAATCTCCACTTCATCTCCTTCAGCTCCCTAAGACTCTGTGTAAGAACAATGGCACACAGCGTCCACAGGGAACATCTACATTTATTTTATACCAAAAAAGTTATGTGCAACAAATAAACATTCTTACATATTTACATTTGTTTGTATTTACCAGTTAGCAAAACGGTGTCCTAAATTTCTGATAAAGGATATTTTTCTCTATGTTAAAGGGGAATCTGCCCAGTGAACTCCTTTTTACATGACTGTTTACTCAGGAGCTTTCAAAGCACAAGTAATAAGTATTTTTGATGGAGCACACTGTAAAGGTCATACCTAGTATTTAAACCATGCTCAAGACAGTTTCAGAACATTTCAACTCTTCTGAGCCACTTATTTAAAAAACAAAAACAAAAAAAGAACAAGTAGCTTGGACTCATACTCTGCCCCTTTTGTTTGATTGTAGGGTCGTTCTCACAAATTAGGATTCATAAGAGTGCTGCCTAAAATATCTATATGGACAAGTTTCATGGATGCTTGTGTACTGGAGGAAAACATGGGGGTGAGGGGTGAGGCCCATGTCCCCAAACAGCTTCCTGCAAATGATAGTAGGGAGCTCTGCTGGCATTGCTCTAACACTGATTTTAAAGGCGAGACCACACGCCGACAGTCACTGGCATCAACTGGTGGTGCCAGTCATTAACTTACAAACTGCTAAGTAGTTTTCCCATTTTTTATTTATTGTTTTGCTTTTTTTTTGAGACAGGGTTTTATGTAGCCCAGGTTGGCCTTGAATTCACTATGTAACACAGGCTAGCTTTGAATTTTTGGTCCTCTTGCCTCTCCTTAGTGCTGGGATTGTAGGTAGGTGCCACCATGCTAAGCTGCATTTTTATTTAAAAGATAGTCTTAAAAGAATTATAAATGAAAAATAAGCAAACAAAAGATGAACAGTTTTAATTGTACTGTTCTATATCTTACCTTAGAGGTACAAGGATCCTTTGTATCAATTTTTTTGGGAGGGGGAGTCTTTTTGAGACAGGGTCTCTCTGTAGCCACAGCTGGCCTGGAACTCACTATGTAGACCAGGCTGGCCTTGAATTCACAGAGATCTACCTGCCTCTGCCTCCCAAGTGCTAGTACTAAAGGCATACGCCACCACGCCCGGCTTGTATTAAATTTTTTAAAATTGTCTCTTTATATGACAAAAAGTCAATGCTTTTTTTAACCTTCTTTAAGAATAATTAGACCCAGTCATCCAAGCACATGGGAGGCTGAGGCAGGAGGGATGTATCAACTTTGAAGCTAGCCTAGGCTACAGGGTGAAATCATGTCTCAACAAAACAAAACAAAAAACAATAGTAGTAATAACTCCTGGCATGCAGCTAGTTAAACCTGAGTTGTTCCAGAAGTTTACTCTCCCTGACAGTGACTAGCTGCAGTGAGGGACCAACTGAAGTCCCCCAGGTTACCTGCCATCGCCAGAACTTATTTAGCCATAACTTCTATTATTTATCACTATGAAGTGAGAGGCTTCATTTGTTATGAACCACTTCAAAACCATAAAGCGCAGAATTACTGCAGAAATCATTTCCCCCCAGTTTGTCCTCTGACAATGGTTGTTAGTCAAGCTGCAGTGTTTAAATATTCAGTCTGAAATAGTCATAACAGTTTTTTGACAGTGTTTCTCACCCTAGGGTTTCTACCCTTCTAGGTTTAATACAAAATATAGATTGAAGCCTGAATTCCCTCAGGGCAAAATAAAATACAACAGGATTGTTTACTGAGAACAGATATCTTAGCAAATGCTGTTGTTTTAAGACAGGCTAGTCTCCAACTTGCTATGTAGCCGAGAATGACACCCTGAACTCCTGTTCCTCCTGCTTCCACCTCCCAAGTGCTGGGATCTTGGGCAAATGCCACCACATCCATCAGCAAATGCTGTTATTTCAGGCAGCATCTATTCACCTCTCACTGAGAAAAGGGTATTTATTCTACTGGGTCATAGGAATGTAGCAAACATTTTATACAGCTAAAAACAATGGTTCCCCAAAGACTTTGGGAAGCAAAGGAAGAAACTTGGGAGCATTCTTACATTTTCTTGGGTAAGGGCTGAAGACACTCGAAACATCAAGACAAGCTTTAACTCCACTCTGATGGGTGATACAAATATGAAAGACCATTTGGAACTGGGAACCAAGGGACTTGTTTAGCATAGCCTTGATATATATGTAGCAAGAGTCTTGGTCATTAGTCATTTCTGCTTGGCAGACCTGGACATACGGCTACAAGATGACCTTACAGTACAGTTCTCACATGGACTCCACAAACACCATTCGATGCTTCCTAGGCGTTCTTTTAACTTCTTCAGGAGACAATAACACATCATAAGACATGCATGGAAATATTCACACTTGTGGGAAAATACAACCCTTGATGAAACTGGAATTAAGCTATCTTTTAAGTAGCTGGTTAAACCTATCAAAATGGCATTATAATTCTGATTTTTATACTTGACCTTGACCAGAAGTCCTAGTTGCATTGGTTATGACAGTTGTAAAGCATTCAACAACTGCTGACCATACAGTAGTTTACAGAGCAAAGCCTGTTCCCTCCCTTCAAGATGGCAAGTGAAGCTCAAGTCACCATCTAATTGTCTATTTAACATAATGATTACTCAAATTGGAAGCAAAAACGTTGCCCCTGCCTCTTAATCTAATAAAATCATGGTACAGAACCTTCTGGTAGAATGCAAGTCCTCTACTTCATAGTAAGGAAGGGAGGAAGAACACTTCTGCCCAAGTGCAACACACAAAGTGATTTGGTTTGAAATTTAAGACAGAAGGCACTTTTAACGTTCTGCTGTAAGATGCTAACCAGAGAAACACACGGTCACCATCTCATCAGGTTCAGGTCACCTCTTAGTTTCTTCTCATTGCTTCTGTGCAGTTACTAGAGCAGGATGAGGTCACCACATTTCACCTCCAGATCTTTCTACCTGTTGTGCTTCTTCCAAGTCGGCAAACTGGACGTCGTGTCAGCCCTAAGGTTTACAATTTTAATATGTGATTCTGAAACAGTTACTGGCAATCCTCAGTACAAGAAGAAACAGTAAGGGAGATACTGTGGACTGACTGCACAGTACTCAACTCGTGCTTATTTTAGAGTCTAATACTGTTTAGCTGACTGGCACCAATATCAAGGCAATATGTCTGTATTGAAAATTACTACTGTTTAAGAGGCTTTACCCCAAAATGCCATATTGGTATTTCCAGTTTTTCTCCAAAGACTACATTCATTTCTCACCATTAGTTTCCTGAGGGCCTTGGCTTAAAGGTCTGGTCACATGACATTCTATTCAGTAACAATGGATCCAGTTTTATTACTAGTCAGGCTTGACTTGGACATTCAAATTTCCTCTCAGCGCAGGAGATGAAAGGGAAGCAACCACCCTACTGTTTCTGATGTTGATGCTGCGCCCATGGCTGTCAGCACTTTTCCCAGGATGCTCTCTGTATGTCTACTATTTCCACTCTTTCCTCAGTCATGAGCTGACAATTCTTCATTGCTACACTCCAACTAAACTGTACAGAAAGTTCTGTGGGGCTGGATCCAATGTTTCTACCTTTATTTACAAATATCACATGAATGGATTCTAGTTGTAGCTACAGGTTTAAATCCATCAGCTAAAAACATATTACATATTGTAAACATGGCAATATTTAATACAGTATCTATTCTAAAATATTTTTGTGTCATGATCACATTTGTTATACCTGAAATTGAATTTATACACATTAAAGAATTACTTATCAGTGGCTGCTCACTTTACGGCTGAGGATAGGGGGCTAGGGCTACATTTTATTATCTCAGAAATATCTTCAAAGTAAAGTTAAAGCTTGTCTTTGATTGGCTCGGCGTATCCTTTTTTGTATCCGGATTTAAAATGAAGACTGACACAGAAAATAGCTAGGGCCCCTTCTAATTTACAGTGTCTTAAAAAAATCAGTTTAAGATTTTTAGGGAAAGTGTCTGTTGTGAATTTTTAAAAAAACTGTTGCAAAATAAACTTAATGGTAGAGGGTTTTGAGACTGTCGGGTGGGAGTCTGTCGTCCGTCAGTCCTCCTTGGGCTGCAGCTGCCGCTTCCAGGCCTCATTCAAGTAAACTAGTCGTTTGTAATTGACGATGAGGAGAATGAAGTTCAGCATGTATGTGGTTACACAGATGATGCAAAACTCCTTCAGCACAAAGTACAGAATGTAGGCCAGGTACAAAGACCCCACCACAGACACGATGGAGGAGGTCATGAGGACGAGAGCCGCAACTGCGCTGGCTGTCATGCCTGCAAGGAGAGAGACACGGTCAGACCCTGGTCTGGACAGGAAGCTTCTCAGCTGACAAGTGACATGCTGTGGCATCAATGCTGACCTCAACTGCTGGATTCTGAAAACTGAATGCAGCAGAGGCTGCCCATCTGCTTTAACACTAGGCAGTTGAGTTTGCCATAAGGACAGTTTCACAGCTGCCATGTTTCTATCTATCAATACTTCACTGGGAATACCGCTTATTTCACAAGACAGGCTTTGTGAAGGCTATGCACACAAAACATGCACTCTCATAGTCACATTAAAGTTAGGACTCTGATCTGTAAAACCTACAGCATATTCTCCAAATAAGCAAAGAATTACAAGTCTTTCCTCCCAAGCTGTACCCACTGGGTAAGACCTTCCATGACTTCTTTTACTATACGGTACCTATCTGGGGAGAGTTATTTTTCATGTTTAGATCAAAGTTATCAAGAATCCATACTGGGTAATACCTATGAAACATGATGCCGAAGAGGGGGAAAAAAATCCAAAACCTCAATAAACATTTTAGAATGGCTAACTGATGGATAAGGGGAAACCACATGGGGGCCACAATCCATCAAAACTGACCAAGAAAACACAGTCCAAGCTGGATGTGGTGACTTATGTCCATAATCCCGCTACTCTGGAGGACTGCCTAGGCTACACAGCCAAACTGTCTCAAAAAAAAGTAGTCAGGTATGTCAAGCCAGAGTTCAAGACAAAAATGTGCCTAAGCTCTTATCTTCACGTGTACTGTTTTGTAAGTTCCTATCTTGTATTTCCAACAATACAAAGAATATTCTCAAGGCTAAAGAGGCAGAGAGTATGTTAACCTCTTGCTAATGGATCACAGTAACAGGGAAAAAATAAGAACAGGTGACAGCAGCTTAAAAATAGAGCCCATGCCTGCAATCCCCGCACTTTGAGAGTGAAGGCAGGGGGACCAAGAATTCAAGGTCATCCTCAGCTACAGAGCAAAGGAATGGACTATATGAGACTCTGTCACAAAAGAAATAAAAATAAAGAGGTCAACTGAGCTGAAATCCTGGTGCCTCTTGGCCAAAAGATAGGCAGAGTAGATATGTGTGGGCTACAGCTTGCTTGTGGGCTGCTCAGAATGCCTAACCACTTTAAAATGGCTCATTATGACTGAGAAACTGCTGAGCAAATCTGGTCAGCACTCACGTACTGTCCAGGACTGGAGAACTCAGCAAAGCCTGGAATACATTCAGTTTACTCAAAAAGTGCTGCCTTCACCTACACTAAAAAACTCAAAAATTAATGTTGTCACTTTAATTATCAGAGAAAGTTAATTTTATAACAACACGGGAGCCCGTTGTGGTAGCACACTCCTCTAATTCCAGCACTCGAGGCTGAGCCTGGAGGATCATTGTGAATCTGAATGAGTTCCAGCCTAGACTGGGCTTCAAACACAGCAATAATCTCCCTCAAATAAATTTTAAAAATCTTAAAAACTAGTGGTAGGCTGGAGGTGTCGTTGCATAGTAGCTCTCTTGGCATCTAACATACGTAAGGCTGTGGATTCAATCCCCTGCACAATTAAAAAGTAAAAATAAATATAAAAATAAATAATGGGGCTGGGAGTGATGGCATACACCTTTAGTCCCAGTACTCAGGAGACAGAGGCAGGTGGATCTCAGAGCTACATAGTGAGACCCTGTCTTTAAAAGAAAAAGAAAAAAATAGGAAAGTGATGGGTAAACTGGTCTCTCTTTGTTTAACTTTGAAGGAGACTAATACTTACACCTACCTCCTAAGTGCTGTGAGGATTAAATGAGCTCAGAGAAAGTGTGATGGAGTGACCCAGAGTATTCAGAATGCTATGTGTGTGCTAAATATTATCGAAGTGTACACAGGTTACTGGGGTTTTGGGGGAAAACTCCCCACAGAATTTACAATGTGCCATAACTCTAAATAAACAATGGTCTAATCATTCAATATAATATTTTGCAGCTGTATATTAAAAAGACAATGTGTCTGGCCGGGCTTGGTGGCGCACGCCTTTAATCCCAGCACTTGGGAGGCAGAGGCAGGCAGATCTCTGTGAGTTCAAGGCTAGCCTGGTCCACATAGTGAGTTCCAGGACAGCTGGGGCTACAGGGAGACCCTGTCTCAAAAAAGACCAAAAAAACAAACAAAAAAAGACAGTGTATCAATATAAAAGATCATCAAGCCGGGCATGGTGGCACTTTAATCCCAGCACTTGGGAGGCAGAGGCAGGCAGATCTCTGTGAGTTCAAGGCCAGCCTGGTCCACATAGTGAGTTCCAGGACAGCTGGGGCTACAAGGAGACCCTATCTCAAAAAAAAAAAAAAAAAAAAAGATCATCCAGATAGAACACACAAACAAAAAAATGGGGAGCGGGGAGTAAGCTGTGGTACAGTGAGCACAGCATCTGACTTTTAAAGATCGCATATCAGTATTTTCCTATATACAAAAAAAGCACTAGAACCACAAGCTGGAGGGGCTGGAAGTGGAGAAAATGCAACTGTGGTGAGGCAACTTCTCACTGTGCAGCACCTTGCTTCTTAACACATCACCACATGAATGCACTGCCTATGAAAACATTAAACTGAGAGCCCTATCATGGCCTACAAGGGAGTGAAGGTGGCAAGCCCCACACGAGATGTTCAAAAGAGCTCTGTGAAGATGCTGACAATTCAAAACATGTGGAGCCTAAAAAGTCAGAAATGTGAGTAGAAATAATACATGATTCAAGTGTGCATATCCAATAAAATCTGCACATTAATAGAAATTGAAACTTGACAGTTTCGCCTCTATCTCCATATAAACACTGATTTTCTCTCTCTCTCTCTCTCTCTCTCTCTCTCTCTCTCTCTCTCTCTCTCTCTTCCTAGCCCTTCCTACCCTTCCTATTAAGGGAAAATTATCTGCTCCTTGAGTTGGGGCTTATAATTTACATTCTTCTTTAGAAATTCAACAGAATCAACAAAATAGGTGAAATTTCTCCCTTCCAACCACAGAATCCCTCTCTAGGATTTTACACACACACACCCCTACCTCTCTATTATCCTATAGCTTAATCCCCCCCACCCCACCCAAACACTTTTACTTTCTGGCTTCATAGAACTGTCTAACACAGGCATGCTCTAATTGATCCAGCCATCACTTATTGCTAGACCCCTGTAGTATCTGCTGGTTTAAACTGCAGTATGATGAATATCACTGTGTCTACACCTTCCTATTTCCTCAGCATAAATATGGAGATTCAGAATTGGACAGACAAAAAAAATCATATTCAAAATGTCTCTCAAAGCAAGCCAACTCTAGAATGAAGTTAAACAAGCACAGCACAGAGGAGCTGGCAAACAATGGAAGAAAATATTGCCAGGCGTGGTAGTGCATGCCTTTAATCCCAGCACTTGGGAGGCAGAGGCAGGGGGATCTCTGTGAGTTCAAGGCCAGCCTGGTCTACATAGTGAGTTCCAGGACAGCTAGGGCTACAGGAAGACCCTGTCTCAAAAAGACAAAAAAAAAAAAAAAAAAAAAAAAAAAAAAAAATTAACAGCTGACTTGCAAAGGCACAAACGGAAGCATTGAACCCAAAGCATAAAAACTTATGTAATACAAACTCACAAAACTAATATTAGAAAGGATAAAATGATTATGACAGATAGGAAAATGGATCTTAATAAGCTTAGCAGGCAGCAAAAGGATATTAAAATGTAATAAAATTAAAATGATGGCTACTAATACCTAACAATTAGAAATTTGACAAAACAAAACAAGATTTTATGAAGCTTCACAGAGACCAGACAACTTAAGGGGAAAGCAATTTGGCAATAATTGTTAAAAATCAATTTTTAAAAATTCTGTTTTTTTACTCATTAACATCATGCCTGGAAATTTACTTCACACAACTAATTCGGGTGGGGGGGCACTTTAAACAAAATGGATCTTTGTGGCATTATTTTGTCTACAAAGAAAAACCACCAAGATGTCAGCAGACACTTAGGACACACAATACTATATTGAAAATAAGAGATCATGTAGAAGTATTTTCAAAAGCAGAAGAAGGCAGGGCTGAGGATGTAGCTTGGTAGTAGAGTGCAGAGCTTGATCCCAGCACTGCATGGAGGGCAAGAAAAAGTACCACAAGACAGGGAGACAGCAGATACATAAATGTGGTGGAATTGTGGCAGTTTACTGTTACTCTTTTCCTAAATAGGTAATATTTTAAAATAGCTATGGAGTCTATAATACATTTTTTTTTAAAGTTTATACAAGATTGGGATAGTAACTTGCACAGATGGTGCTGGGCTTCTGGACACCATGACATGCTGTAGTCATGACTAAACATCCACCAGGACCAAGTTCAACACCCGCATCATAAAAACTCAGTGAGTCACATCTTCACAACACAGAAATATGCTAGTGGTTCTATCAGCAACATATGCTTTTAATTTCTATAAAGACACACTTTAGGGCAAAGACACAAGCACCAAATGGAATAGAATATAACAAGCTTATTTCTGTATCACTGTATAAATACTTACCAAGTAATAACTGTAGTATATAAAATATAAGTCCAAAGACACTGTTTGGCTGGTTTAATACACCATCTTTTCCAAAAATGGAACCCAAAAGACCAAATCCTCGACCCCATCTGTAAAATAAGGAAAACCAGTAACCCTATATTTGAGATTCCCTATTTTTTAAAATGTAAAATTATCTGTGAAGGTTATCAAATTCCAAAATGAACTAAATTTCCAAAATTCTTAATAATCTTTTACTTAAAGAGTGATTTACCTCAGGGAGAGGTGAGTCATTAGATTTCTGTATTGCACCTGATGAAAAGTACTGTCTAATACAAACATCCTCTAGCTGAGCCTCTCGGTGGATACTTTCTCTACACCCTCCTTTCCTAAAGGTAATAAAGGTTTCTTTTTCTTTTCTTTTGAAACAGAGACTCTCACTATGTAGCTCTGACAGACCTAAACTCTCTAGGTAGCCCAAGCTGGCCTCAAACTCAGAGATCCCCCTGCTTCTGCCTCCCAAGTACTGGAATTAAAGTCTAAAGCTGTGTGCCAACATACTGGAGGAATTTGCAAGATGAAAGCCTCTCAATTTGTCAATCAGGGCCTCTTCAATCAGGGCCTTAGGTCTTTCTGTTAGGTAATTCTTTGTGGTGGGGGCTGTTCTTACATGACAGTGTTTAGCAGGGTCCTGGTCCATTTCCCACTCCCAGCTGTGACCATCAATAATGTCTTCAGCCAGCAACCCCAGTTGAATGCTACTGACATGGGGTGTCCTATGGGTGCATTCAAAATACACAGATTGAAAAATTCCCAGGAAATTTCACCAGGGTTAGGCTGAGATCTTTAAATGTAGAAAGATACCAGAAATCAAGTCTTTTGTAGAATCCTATTTCCAAAGTAAAGAACTGATACTTAATATCACACTATCAGTTTTTATTTAAAGTTTAATTTCAAACTTTGCATGTGACTTCACATTTCCAGAATCTTTTAACTTTTTAAAAAATTAACTTTTATTGAGTTTGTTCTTTGACAATTTCATACATGCATAAAGTATATTGTGATTATTACAACCCTCCACCCTCTTTAATCTCTTCCTCATTTCTATTACCCCTAGAATTCTGACTTTAAAAAAGTAATTATTAAATTCTAATGTAATAAAACTTGATACAAACATCAAACCAACATTAACTTTGAATAAAAACCTTCAGATTCAGATTTAATTCTGTACAAGAGTGCTTCTTAAATATCCACAAGAAAATAACTAAGTTGTTTAGCAGAGGTATACTAGAATATAATCTAAAGTTTGATCATAAAGACAAAGGCCTAAGAAAAAGGATGAATGATTATTAATAATGCTGGTTTTTCAGAAACATCACAGTGATGTTGAGATAACACCCCATTATAGAACTGAGAGCTACAGAGGACTTTTATTACCTAGAGTTGCACATTTCAAAGAAGACAAAGCAATTTCCATTATATGCATATATTCTCCCATGCATCAGATACTTATTGAGTAGTGCAGGCACTGAGGTGCTGGTGATATGGGTGTAGCCAACCAGACACTCAGCACTGTCCTTTGTGGGGCTTACATTCTAGTCATGACACTGTAATGACTAGGTTACCTTCAGGAATGGAGAGGCCTACAAGTGATACACAGAGAAATGGGAGTAGTCCTCCTAGAGAGGACTTGGTAAAATGCAGGTTTTGCTTCAGTGGGCCAGGAGTTAGGCCTTAGACTACATTCAACGAAACAAAATGATCTGGGACAGGGGTGCACATGCTGGTAATTACAGTACTCCAGAGGCTGAAGTATGAGGATTACCATGAGTTCAAGACAAGCCTAGGCCACTAAGCCAGCCAGGGTTATAGAGTGAAACCCTGTGTCAAAACAACAACAACAATAATAACACACACACACACACACACACACACACATATACACACATACACGCACACAGAGAGAGACCTGTCATAGGTTTCAGCTATTCTACTCCTAGGCATTTACCTGAAGGACTCCAAGTCAACACATCACAGAGACACTTGCATACCAATGCTTACTGCAGCACTGTTCATAATAGCGAAGTTATGGATCCAACCTAGGAGCCCCAAAACGTAGGAATAGATAAAGAAAATGTAGTCACATACAGAGTGGAATTTTTCTCAGGCATAAAGAATGAAGTTATACCATAAAGGAAAATGGATACAATGGAGATCATCACATCAAGTCAGTCTCAGAAAGCCAATTTTTTTTCTCATTTATGGCTCCTAGAATTTATATACTCATATAAAATCATATATGTGTATGTATTAAATCAAAGAAGCTGGGCATGGTGATACACACCTTTAACCCAGCACTCAGGAGGCAGTAGCAGGCAGATCTCTGAGATTGAGGCCAGCCTGGTCTATACAGGACATTCCAGGCTAGCTGGGGCTACAGGAAGACCCTATCTCAAGCATTCCCTCTGCCCCCACAAAATGAGAGCAGGAGCAAAATTGTCTAGGGGAACAAAGGAGATAAACAGGAGAAAAGGAAATGAGGGGGATTATACTCAACATACAATTCATACCTATGAGATATTTTTATTTTTATTTTATGCATACAAATGTGATTACCTGCATGTGTGTAAATACACCCGTGTCGTGCAGTGCCCACAAAGGTCAGAAGAGGGTGTCAGATCCCCTGAAACTGGAGTTATGGACAGTTGTTAGCCACCATGTGGATACTGGGAATCTAACCCAGGTCCTCTGCGAGAGCAGCCACTGCTCTTAACCACTGAGCCATCTCTCCAACCCCCCTGTAAGAAATTTTTTAAATTAAAAATAAGAAAGAAAAAAAACCCCAAAAGCTCTCAGGCAATGCTTTTAGCAAGAAGGCCACACAGCTGCAGTCGAGAGGTAGAAGCCACTCTAGCTAAATGCTCTAAAAGTCCTTCTTCAGGAACTACATTAAAAACAAAACAAAACAAAACAAAACTCATAAGGCCAGGCATGGTGGTGCACACCTTTGGTCCCAGCACTTGGGAGGCAGAGGCGGGCAGATCTTTATGAGTTCAAGGCCAGCCTGGTCTACATAGTGAGTTCCAGGACAGCTGGACCTACAGGGAGACCCTGTCTTAAAAACAAAAACAAAAACAAAAAACAAAAAACAAAACCTCTTATGAACTACATTTATGTATGGTGATGTAGTTCTTTTCTTTCTTTGAGACAGAGTCTCATGTAGCCTACATTGGCCTCAAAACTTGTGATGTAGCTGGGGATGACATTAAACTCAAGAACCTTCTGCCTCCACCTCCTAAATGCTGGGATTATAGGTGTGAGCCACCATAGCTGTTTTTGATTTATGAAGTGCTAAGCATCAAAGCTGGGGCTTTGTGCATGTCTGACAAGAATTCTACCAACAGAACCCCAGGACCTACATTTTATATCAAACCCTGAGTGGTACAAGAGCCAGTCTCAAGAGGAATGGCCAATACAAAGGCCTTGGAGTAGGAATGAGTCCAACACACAGTGATAAGGGAGGATGTCAGGAAAATCAGATACCAGTCTAGTCATTTAAATTACTTAGGGCCTGCTTGGTAAGCTGTGATAAAGGATATCAGCTTTGTTCAAATTGCAGTGAGAAAAGTTTGTGATCCCTCTTGGCTATCCAGTGAAGACAAGTACAGGAGGTAAGAGTCCAGAGAAGGAAACCACAAGTGATCTGACTTACAGTCTTATACTCACTTGAACAAAATCCAGGTCTAAATCCCTGCGTTTAGCAAGGGAAACTACTGGATGCAGCTCTGCCCATACCTAATTACTCATTTAAGATCACATAGGTATTTTCCTTTGTGAAACACAGGCCCACCTAGTTTACATAGAGTTCCAGGCCAGCTGGAAGAGGGAGACCCTGTCTCACAGAAAAACAAAAACAAAAAAGCCACAAAAAAACACCAACACACAAACCCTTTTACTCTAGAAAGCATCCAGTGTGTATATGCAAAGGGAATAGAGAGTAACAACTGCATGGAGCCTTCACTCAAGCTTCATCTCTGCCTCTATTCACTCAATAGTTATTTTTAGTCCTTTGACATAGGGGCCTGGAATTTGCAATCCTCCTGCCTCAGCCTCCTGAAACATGTGCCACTATGGTCAGTACTGTTTTTAAAGGTAAAACTTACATACATTTAACGCATAAATCTTACCATATAATTTTGAGAAACTGTTAGCTACACTTGGGTAGTCCTCATCTACCACCACGTGGAATGCTTCCATCTCCCCAGTTAAATTCTGCTCAGTCTCTTCCATCTGACTCTCTGAGCTCCTAGACCCAAATGCTGTGTATTTCACTTTAGGTTACAGTGTGAATCCAATCACCATTTCATATTTTCATCCAAACACAACAATAACCTATTTTCTTGATAAATACCGCAAATATGGTAAATCTGACTAAGCCACATGTAATAACTATAAGCAAGTCAACTTTCAAGAAAAGAAACTAGTATTACCTATGACTATTTTCTTCGGAAAGGTGACAACTATTCTGTTTATAATTTTGTGACCAGTATGTCACTAAGACTCTCAAGACCCACCCATGCTTCGACATGTGATAAGAATTCTGCTGTATGCATGTCCACATTTGTTTATCTATGCAGCCATCAAATACATGTGGGTTGCTTCCATTATCTTGATACATGAAACTTTTTTGATATATAAGATTTTTGTTGTCCCACCCAAACAATCACAACTACTCCCATTTTTCATTCACTCCTCTGAAGGGAAACAACACCTTTGATTAAGATTCCAGGTAAAGCCCAATCTAGAAAAATCAAAGGACATAAAATCCTAGAACCTGACAAGAGAATTAACTGTGGGTTCACAGAAAAGGAGTGGCCCTGAACAAAAACAAAAAAATAACTATTTCCTTTACTTTTACATTCATGGGTTGTGACACATTAGCAGTTTACTTGGTCTACATGTTCCACCTTCACAGGCAGATTCACATTAAATTGAATAATTTAAAATTTAATAATGATGGACATTATGAACACAGAAGTTAACTGTTTAAGTTTATAAAGTCTTTGTCAGTTTCAAAAGGGCCATAACCACTAGAAGGAAGGACAGATCTGGGAAGTGTGTTCCTGGGCTT